GGGAGAGGGAGAAGCAGGCTTCCCGCTGAGCAGGGAGCCCGATGCGGGGCTCGATCCCAGGACCGTGGGACCGTGACCTGAGCTGAAGGCAGACACTTAACAACTGAGCCGCCCAGGTGCCCCTGTTGGGAAGTTTTTGATTATTGATTCAAAATCCTTACTAGTAATTGATCTTTACAGATTTTTTATTTCATCATAATTCAGTCTTGGAGGTTGTATGTCTGTAGGAATTTATCCATTTCTTCTAGGTTATCTAATTTGTGTACAATTGTTCATAGTAGTCTCTTATGATCCTTTGTATTTCTGTGGTATTGATTGTAATATCTTCTCTTTCATTTCTGTATGTATTTCTTTGTTCCTTAGTCTAGCTAAAGGTTTGTTAATTTTATCATTTCAAAAAACCAACTATTAGTTCCACTGATGTTTCCTATGGTCTTCTTAATCTCTATTTCATCCATTTCCACTCTGAGATTTGCCATATCTTTCCTTCTACTAATTTTGTGCTTAGTTTGTTCTTCTTTTTCTATTTCCTTAAGATGTAATGTCAGATTGATATCTTTTGTTTTTCTTAATATAGGTGTTCATTGCTATGAACTTCCTTCTTTGAACTACTTTGCTGCATTCCATATGTTGGCATGTTGTATTTCCAGTTTTGTCTCAAGGTACTCTTTGATTTCCTTTTTGATTTCCTCTTTGGCTCATTGGTTGTTCAGTAGCATGTTGTTTTATCTCCACACACTGGTGAATTTTCCAGTTTTCTTCCTGTAATTGATTTCTAGTTTCATACCACTGTGGTTGGAAAAGATGCTTGGTATGATTTCAGTCTTCTTACATTTATTAAGACCTGTTTTGTGATCTAGCATATGATTTATCCTGGAAAATATTCCATATGCACTTGAGAAGAATGTGTATTCTACTGTGTTTGGAAGGACTGTATTGTAAATGTCTAATCTGTCAGGTCAATGTATAATTTAAGTCCAATATTTCCTTTTTGGTCTTCTGTCTGAATGATCTATTGTTAAAAGTGGGGTATTAAAATCCTCTACTATTATTATATTACTGTATATTTCTCCCTTCATATCTGTTTATATTTGTTTTGTATATTTAGGTGTTCCAATGTTGGGTACATAAATATTTATAATTTTTATATTATTTTGATGAATAGACCCCTTTATCACAGTATAATGACTTTTGTGTTACAGTTTTTGGCTTAAAGTCTATCTTATCTGATATAAGTATAACTCTTCCTACTTTGGTTTCCATTTGCATGAAAAACCTTTTTCTCATCCTTCACTTTCATTCTATATGTGTTTTTACAGGTGAAGTGAGACTTATAGATAGCTTATAGTTGAGGTTTTTTTTTAATACACTCAGCCACTCTGTGTCTTTTGATTGGAGAATTTAGTTCATTTATATTATAGATAGTTATGGATTTAGTATTGCCATTTTGTTAATTGTTTTCTGGCTGTTTTATATCTTACATAAAATATCTTAGTTATATCAATCTATTTTAAGCTGATAACTTAATTTCAAATGTGTACAAAAGCTCTACATTTTTACACTTTCCCCGCATTTATGCTGCATTTTTGATGACACAATTTACATCTTTTTATATTGTGTATCCATTAACAACTTATTGTAGTTATAGTTATCTTTAACACTTTGTACTTTAATCTTTATACTAGAATTGTGATTTACCTGCTACCATTAGTTTTAGAGTATTCTGAATTTAACTATATATTTACCTTTTACCAGTGAATTTTTTTTTAAAGATTTTATTTATTTATTTGAGAGAGAGAGAGAGCTCATGAGGGGGGGAGGGTCAGAGGGAGAAGCAGACTCCCTGTTGAGCAGGAAGCCCGATGCGGGACTCGATCCCGGGACTCCAGGATCATGACCTGAGCCGAAGGCAGTCGCTTAACCAACTGAGCCACCCAGGCACCCTACCAGTGAATTTTATACTCCACATATTTTCATGTTACTAATTAGCATCCTTTTGTTTCAGCTTTAAAAACTCCCTTTAACATTTCTTGTAAGGCTGTCTAGTGAGGATGAACTCTTCAGCTTTTATTTGTCTGGAAAACTTTATCCTTCAATTCTGAAGGACAACTTTGTCCCATAGAGTTTTTTGCTTGGCAGTTTTTTTTCTTTTATCACTTTGAATATATCATTCCACTCTATTCTGGCCTACAAAATTTCTGCTGAAAAAGTCACTTTTCTGTGACTTTTTTTTACCCTGAAAAAGGTAAAAGTCACATTTCTTCTGCTGCCTTTAACTGCCTTTCAACTTTTGAAAATTTAATTGTATGTGTTTCAGTGTAGGTCTCTTTAGATTAACCTTTTTTGGGGTTCTTTAGACTTTCTGGATCTGAATGTCTGTTTGTTTCTCCAGATTAGGGAAGTCTTCAGCCATTATTTCTTCGATTGAACTTTCTGCCCCTTTCTCTCTCTCTTCTCCTGCTGGGACCTCCATTTTGGTCTGCCTGATGGTGTCCAATAAATCCATCACTCTTTCCATGCTTTTTTCCTTTTGCTTCTCTAATTGGATGAATTCCACTGCCCTGTCTTTGAGTTTGTTGATCCCTTCCTCTGCTTGATCTGGTCTGCTATTAAAACCCTCTGTTGAATTTTTTAAGTCCTTTATTGTACTCTTTGGTTCTATAAATTCTGTTTGATGCTTTTTTATATTTTCTGTCCCTTTGTTAAAATTCTCAATGTTTATTCATTGTTCCCCTGATCTTGATGAGCATCTTTATGGCCATTATTTCAAACTCTATTAGGTAAACCACTTACTTCTGAAATATCAGTTTCTGGAGATTTATCTTGTTTTTTGTTTGGAACATATTCCCCTCTTCATTTTTTTGACTCTCTATGGTGGGTTTGTTGTATTAGATAAAACAGTCACTTCTCCCAGTCTTGACAGACTGGTCTCATACAGGAGATGAATTTCATCAATCAGCCCAGCTCAAGCTTCTAGGTCTCTCAAGCATTTGTGATTATCCTAGCCACATTATTCTTAATGGTCCCCAATAGTTGCATATGTGCCAAGATCTATCAGTGCTCCAAAGAGAAGGATCACAGTCAGAACCTATATGCAAGCTGATTAGAAGCCAGACCCTCAGGCAGCAGGTGGGCAAGTATGCAGTTAAGCCTCTTTCAAAGAGAAACTGGAAAGTGGATATTTGCTTATTCCTTCTGCATTGAGCCAAGGTGTATATCCATGCTGGGATTGGAGGACGGTGCTCCTGCACCATTTAAAAACTGCTTATTTGTTTGTTATAGTCCTGTGGGACTTTTCAATGCAACCCCCATTGGCTATCAGAGCCAGGGAAGGTGCGGACCATTCTTTGGGCAGCAGCTGCAAAAACTAGGGCAGTTGGTATGTGTAAAATCTCCTTCCAAAGAGATGTTGGTGGCCTAATTATATAATTGGAGTTAGCTAGAGGGAGAAAGTAGTAGAAGTGCCCACTAGCTCCCCTGGACAACTCCATGAAGGATTGCAGCTAGCACCTAGATGGGTGCAAATTATAAGCCAGACCTCAGACAGTGGTTTGTAAAGTATGTAGTCCATCCCCTTCCAGGAAAAGACTGGAAAATGAACATTTTTTTTTCTACTTCCTCTGTGCTAAGGGAGGACAGCCACAGTGAGTGCTAGAATGTAAAGAACTAACTTTGTTTTCTGTAGTGCTGTGGGACTTGTGGTTATAAGCTCCACTGGCTTTCAGAGCTAGGAATTTTCTGGGCCTGTCCCTTAGGTGAGAGCCTTAAAAGTTGGAATCCTGTATGTACTGTCCAAATGCTTTACTCCTCAGGAAGAGGCTGAGAGTTGGGGTTATCTTCCTTATAGTATGGTTCTGTGCCAGAAATGGGGTTTACAATACGTTTGTCTCATCCTTTCCTACCCATTTCACTGTGGTTGTTTTTTTAGTTGCCTGATGTGGTAGGAGTCATTCAGCTAGTTTCTGGGTTTTTTGCAGAGGAAATTGTTCCATGTGTAGCTGTACTTTAGGTGCATCTGTGGAAGAAGGGAAGTTCGGGGGCCTCTTATGTCACCACCTTGGTCCCTTCTACAAAGGACTGGCATATACATTGCTCCAAAGAAGATACACAAGTGGGGAATAAGCACATGGAAAGATGCTCAATATTATTCATTAAGGAAATGCAAATCAAAATCGTAATAAGGTTACCACTTCACATCCATTAGAATGGCTACTATTTTAAAAAATGAAAAAGAACAAGTATTTGTAGGATGGGGATAAACTGGGAACCTTTGCGTATTGTTGGTGGGAATGTAAAATGGTATAGCCATTATGGAGAACATTATGGTGATTCTTCAGAAAGTTAAAAATAGGGTTGCCATATGATCCAGCAATTTCACTTCTATACATATATACTCAAAAGAATTGAAACAAGAACTCAGATACTTGCATACAAGTATTCATATTAGCATTATTCACAGTAGCTAAAAGGTAGAAACAACCCCAAATTTCCATGAACAGATAAAAGGATAAACAAAATGTGATACATACATGCAATGGAATGTTGTTCAGCTCTAAAAAGGGATGAAATGATGAGCCTTGAAAACTTTGTTAAGTGAAATAAGCAAGACACAAAAGGATAAATATTGTATCATTCCACTTATATGAGGTGTCCAGAAGAGGCAAATTCATACAAACTACAGTAGAAGTTACCAGGAGCTTGGGGAAGGGGAGAATGAGAAGTTATTTTTTAATAGGTACAGAGTTTCTATTTGAGATGATGAAAAGTTCTAGAAATGGATAGTAATAATGGTTGCACAACACTATGAATGCACTTAATGGATGGAATTGAATTGTACAGTATTGTACATAATTGAATTGTACACTTAAAATGGTTAAAATGGTAACTATATATTTTACCAAAATTTAAAAAAAATTAAAAGCCTGTTTTTAAAATTTTTATTTTTTTGATCATAGTTTAGTTACAAATCATTAATAGATTTTAATATTTCATTTTCATAGAGGCCCAGAACAACATTTCTAAATTTCTACAATGCTGCCTGAAATGCTGTTTCTGGTGTTTGGAAAAAGTGGTAAAGTTTTTTAACAGAAATGCCTATGTTATGGTAAGTAGATTATTCCTTATTTGCTAAATTTCTTCTTTGCAAACCCAAACCCCATGTGTACATTTCCATCTCTAACACTTTTTACATCATACAGTTGAATTTATCACCATGTTGATATAAGGATTTGTGAATCCTATGCATGATTCAGAGCTATTCTATCCTAGTTGAGATAATATCTTAACTGTAGTTCATTATTACTGTTAATATCTTTTTAAAGAGGGAAAATATTATTTACCTTAGAAATTTTTAAATATGTTAGATTGAAAAGATTTTGTGTGTCTTTGACATAGTTTTTAGTGCAAGGAGAGGTTCTGTATTTCACTCTGAGAAAAAAAAATCTAATTCTGGGATTTACATATTTCTAGGGAATGGTCTATTTCTTTTCATAAATCTTATGTTGAAATGTGTGGGAATCGACAAGGCCTACCTGAATGTGTTACTTATTTTCTATGGGGAATTTGGAGATTTTTTAAAAATAGGGATTCCAAAAACATAATTCCTCTAAAATTTAGTAACTACAACCTTATGATACTTGCTTGTCTTCCCCATGACCAGAGTCTGTAGGGTGATTCAAATAGGCATGAAGATTTAAATAGTCACTAATTTACCTCCAGTGAGAATACTATATTGAAACTTTTAATCAGTAAATCAGTGTTTTGAAAGGTGTTGGGTTCCCTAGAATAATTTTTAATGTGAATGCTGCAACATTTATCCCATTCACATCAGACCCTAGCCAAAACACTTCAAAGACAGAAGCCATATCCTGGGATTTGAGAAAAAGACCTACCTCTGTGTGAATTCCCATGAAGTTTATAGGCATATAGGATGTGGAGCACACCAGCGTCCCTGACAGCTGTGCAGAGTTGAGGTTAAACAGTTTCCAGGTCTCCCGCATACCCAAATGCTGGAAAGAGGAATGACAGTAGCTATCTGGGTGATAAGAGAATTAATTAATTTTCCTGTCATTGGATTGTCTGTTGGTCTTGTTAGGGTATGTTACTGACTCCAGAATAATAACGTCTGTTTTCCTCAGATTGCAATATATGGCAAAAACTTCTGCAGGTCAGCAAGAGATGCTTTCAATCTGCTGATGAGAAATGTTTTAAAGTAAGTAATCAGGTTGAATTTGCAAAGGACAATTTGGTGAAATTTGAGCATCACAGACTTCACATGTTGTGATTTAAATTGATGGTGGTCTTATTAGACATGAATATTATCTTTCAGTTGGATAGATTTAAATGTTCTCTCTCACACACTTTCTTTTTGTATCTTAGAATGTTGCTTCCACCATCCATCTACATCTTCACACTAACTGGCATTTTATTGATTTTTGTTATCCCTTCTGCTCAAGAAATTCTCCACACAAACATCATGTTTCTGACCACTTCCCCCTCCCCAAATTGAGAGAGTCTGAGTGAGCAAAAGCAGGGGAAAGAGTGAAATCTCCTCGAAATTCAGGGTGTCTTAGGCTTTGAAACAGAAGCTGACATAACTAATAGTGCCTGATAGCCCCACAATGCCATCTTCTGTTTACTTCATCGAAAATAAATCAGAACTTCATTCCTGGGGTCTACCTTCATTTCTTGCATTTAACAAAGGCCAAATAAAATTTGCAGTGAAGACACATCAAAGTGAGCTCATAAATTATTTACTCTCATAAATTTCAAGTGACAAATGTAATTTAAACACAAAATTATACTTTTTTTCTGATTCTCAGAGTTGCAGTTATGGATAAAGTTACAGACTTTGTACTAATCCTGGGGAAAATTCTAGTTGCTGGATGTATAGGTAAGTAATAATAAACATAAGTTTAGAAGGTACTTGGAAAAGCTATATTCCTTTGCAAATACATAATATACATGTTCTGCCTTTCCAATGTAGGTGTGCTGGCCTTCTTACTCTTCACACAGAGATTGCCAACGATGATAGAAGGACCAACATCTTTAAATTACTACTGGGTACCTTTGCTGGTAAGAGTTGGTGTTTTAGTCAGTTCAGGCTTCTATAACAAATATATCATAGATTGGGTGGCTTAAACAAGAATTTATTCCTCACATTTCTGAAGGCTGAGAAGTCCAAGATGAAGGTGCCCACAGATTCAGTTCCTGGTGAGAGCTGTCTTTCTGGTTTGCAAAGGAACCCCTTCTCACTGTATCTTAACATGGTGGAGAGAGGTATCATCATCTCTCCTGTCTCCTCTTTTAAGGGCATTAATCGCATTCATGAGGGCTGCACCCTCATGACCTAATTACCTCCCCCAAACCTCACCTCCAGATATCGTCACATTGGGGGTTAGGTTTCAACATATGCATTTTGAGAGGATACAATTCATTCATAGCAACTGGGTAGGTAATATTGACTCTGATTTATCAGAGATGGCAAAATAAAAGTAATAAGAAAAATAATAGCTAACATTATTGGTCCTACTTTGTGCCAAGCCTTATTCTGCCTTAGATTGGATTCCTTAGAAACAACCTCTGAGACAGGATTGTATGCGGAAGGTTATTTGGAAGTGTTCTCCTGAGATACCCTTATAACAAGTGAGGAGGGCAGGCATGGGTAAAGGAAAAAGCTGCAGTTACAGTAGAGACCTCAGACATATTGACAGGAAGTTCTGAAGGAAGATTTAGGCCTCTGTATGCTGCATCAGGCAGCCGTTGGCCCGGGGTTGCCCCCTGGATGCTGGTGTAACCTTGGGTGAGGCAGTTCCCTGCAACAAGGGCAATTCCTAGTGAGTGAAGCCACTCAGTTGTCAGCAGCCTACATTCCTAACAATTGGATGATAGATGTAGCAGCTGGAGAGGACCTGGTAGGAGCCCTGCAGTATCTATAGCAATTAATTAACTCACTCAATCCATATGTCATAAATACTATTATTATTCACATTTTCCCCTTGCCCACCAGTAATTTTTTATAGGAGGCAGGGGACACAGTGAGGTTAAGTAACTTGTTGAGTGAGTGCCTGACATGTGATTCAACCCTAGGCAGTGTGTGCTCTTAACTCCCGTGCTTTCCTGCCTCAGTCTACAGGATCCTAAATCTGGGATATTTTTGGTAGGCATTGGGGATAATGGTAAGAAAATTGGCAGACAATATATACATTTAGATCCCAGTACAAATTACCCAAAAGTGTTAACATTGTACTTTTTTGGTCTCTATATTGAAATCTTTTCTAATATAGGGTACTTCAGCGTTTCTCATCATGACTTTCATTTAAAGCTGCATTATTGTTCTTCTGGATAAGTTAATGACATCTTCATTTTGTTCTTTACTCATTTACAGACAGTCATTATTGGATCTTACCTAGTTGCACATGGGTTCTTCAGCGTCTATGCAATGTGTATTGATACAATTTTCATCTGCTTCTGTAAGTTTTCAGCATATGTGTTTTCCCCCTTTGGAGAGTAACTGAAAGATAAGAAGGTTAAGACCCAGACCCATGTCCTTAGCTGGCTTGTGAATTTGCTATGGCCTGGCTGCAACTACCAAATAGTGTTGATTTGGAAAGAGACTCTGTTTAGTAGATGCTCTTTAAACCTTAACAGCCAAGAGAATGGAGTTTGCAAAGCACTGCAGAGTCAGCTACTGAAATGAACCTCGGGCTCCACGGCATGGTGTTAGCATGAAACTGTTTTTGCACATCTTAGTATTTTCAAATTTTAATAAAGCACAACAGAATCTAATCATTAACAGCACTGAGGACATGGCTTTGAGATTGGACTTCAGGACCTTTTTGAGGAGAGGCTTTATAATTCTGATAAAGCCAAGCTAGCAATAGTTTCCAAGACACATAGGGCCAATTCACACTAGATTCATGGAGGAGAATGTCTAGGAAACAGCTCGATCGATTCTGACGCTTAGAGTTAAAATACTTCTTAAGAGCTTTGATCACTGACGTATTTGCTGTACCTCTGTGCGGCATGTGTAACTCATAATGGATAGGTTTTCTATTAGCATCTCATCTTAAAAGCCTTGGAGAACCTAGTGCCCTAGGAGCTTAACCTGGCTCTTACCTTCAGCCTAGGGAAAGCAGGCTCAGCAGATGAAAGAACAAATTGTTAGCCCACCCTCTGAGTGATTATTTCTCTGGCACATTGCTCTTAAGAGAAGCAGAGAAAACATTCTGTGACAGGGCATTACTGAGTGATCCACTTGTGTAAAATTAACAGTTTATTTTTTTGGCATAACTCACAGCACCAACTTTACAGTGGGGTCAGGAGAGGAGATAATACTTACAGGGAGACATATTCAAAGGAAAAAACTCCTAGAAAGTGGTTTGACTTTTTTTTTTTCTTAACATTTAAAATTTATTTTCAATAACTGGACAATTCAGAAATCAGGAGAACTGTGCATACTAGTTAGTTCTCTCTCTGGCTATAAATGGAACAGAAATGTTTTATCATCTTCTAATGCCACTGTTGGTGGTTTATTAGGTAGGAGAAGCCATCTACAAAATGCCACATGAACAAAATTCGGCTCAGGTTGGAGATGGAGAAAGGAACACAGAAATATGGTAGTGCCTGAGACAGAGGTCTCAAATGTTCAAAGATCTCTTTTTTTCATCTCAGATGCTAATCATAGAAGTAGTGGGAGATCCCTTTAGGATCTTCCCCATTCTTATATAACTGAAAATGTTTTCAAAATGTATCTCAGGAAATGCATAGAAACTACTAGCTTCCAGTCTTTGGAAGCTTTGGAAAAAGTCTTATGGATTTTAAATTTGACAGTGGATTTTAAATTTGAGCAGTAAGAAATGTTTTGTACCCTTTTATATTAATAATTACCAACTTCTTGAAAACCAGGTGTAATTTCAGCTTTATTCAATACATTGTGTGTTGAACATGAATAGTTTCCTTCTGGAGACTCTGGTCTTTGAGAATAAAGAACAAGGGATACCAAATTATATTTCTCCTCCCTTCCCAACTTTTACTATGGGCAACATCTTACTTTGGAAAACATTCTTAAATGGTGCCATAAGCCAAATTCTGATCGTGTGGAACTGTACCTTTATACATATACATCTTTTTATACCTATTCTCTTGGCTGCCAGACAACTGGTGTTTTTAAAAATGCAAACCATTTGCAAACACTGCATTTATAGAAACATGGCATATTTTTAATATTACAAGGCAATGAGAATTCTGGTCCCAGTATGAGAAAAAAGTAGTGTTGTAGATGATTATTAGTGTGATCCATACCATGTTTCCTAATAATGCTTCAAAAGTAATAACAATGTAGATATACTGTATATGATATAGAAATATGGTTAAGGAAAAAAGAAAAAAATGTTCAGTGTCCATCATATTCCCCCCTTAGCTTTTCATTTTATCTGAGGAAGGTCATTGTGAGGTCTAATGTAAAAATCTAAATCAATAATCCAACCATTCCCAAAAAAGGATGAAAAATAATTTAGATTTATTCCATAAATCTGTGATTATCCTATATGGTTTTATATATTTCTTATCCTTTGTCATAATAAAGACTATGAATAACAAAATCTTTTTTAATACACTAGTGGAAACAGAGTTAAGCCATACTTGTATACTTATTGATAGATATTATCTGCTACGAATTCTATCTTTAGGAAGCTTAATTCCGTGCCAGCTTCTTGCTCCTCAGCATCATTCTGGTGCTTTCCCTGAATCACCTGATAGGTGTGTGCTCAGTGAACATTCCATCATTTTATTATTAGCCTAGGCAAAGCAGGAAGGTAAATTCATGTGTTACATGAAGTCAGAAAACCCTGCCAGTAGTTTTCTAATACAATCTGAGGAAATTTAAGACAGGATAACTTATAGTTAAGTAGGACAAGAACCGAACTAGGTGTCAAGAGGCTGGGTCCTCACCTCATTCTGATTGCCCCAGAGCTTTTGGCTTCAGGAGAATCATTTCACATACCTGGGTCTCCGTTTCTTCATCTGTAATGTTATGGGTGTGGACTACCATTAAAAGTGACTTTGAAATTCAATTATTGTTCTACATTTACCACAGACTTTTTATTCGGCTTCATCTCAGATGTGGCATTTTTACCTTTCTGAAATGAACAGTCACAGATTTAGAGATAATAGTTTTGAAAGGATATGAAAGATCTTATTAACCTTTAAACTATCAAAATAAACCTCTTCGGGCATTGGTGGGATTTAGGAAGTTTCAGTGCTTCCTGGCAGAGGTTGAAGTTTCTCACTTTGTCCAGCATCAGCAACTTAACGGTACGGATTGTCTTATATTTGACTTTCTAACGCTAATTTCTCTGATTTTTCCCTGTTTGACTCTCCAATTTATAAAAATACACTTAATTCTGCTGTCGCTTGCTGTTTTGCCTGCTTTGGCTGCTGCATATACAGGTGAAGATCTGGAAAGAAATGATGGATCCAGAGAAAAACCCTACTTCATAGCCCCTACCCTGCACGGAACTCTGAACAAGATGCTACTAGTTCCCCAGAAGCAGAAAGAGTAGAAAAGCTCCAAACAGTGACATTCATTTTTAAATAGAACTTTTGTAAATTAGATCATTTGTAACTTGAAAATGATGCTTTTGAGTAATGTGAAATTTCTGTGCTTATTCCTAAAAAGCCAGAACCTGGTACCACCTGAGGTGACAGGCATTTGGTGACAGTAGCCACTGTGAACTAGGATACTTTATAGACTGTGGTCCCAGCTGAAAAAGCAAGGTGTAAATGTCAAACATATATTTAAAGCCTACAGCCAAAAGTGTTTTAAATGAGACTTTTATAACTTGGAGTGCTGTTTCCCATCACAGCACTTTGATCGCCTTTCTTTTTATAAATGTATATTTGTAAAGGATATTCAGGCAATTTTCGAAAGCACTATAAACGTATAGTCAATTAGCCATAAAAAAGATTGACATAGTTCACCAGCATATGGTACTAAATTTGTAAATATGGTGCTATGGTTATATAGCTGCTCCAGCTAGTGGACAGCTTTCTCAACTGTGATTAAACTCGTATAAATGTTTCCCTAGGAAGTATATTTCAGTGTGTGATTCAAGACCGTAACAGAGATGTTAATGTTATACAAGTTCCATAGAGAACACTGCTAGGTAAAAATTACTGGGGAACCTCATAACCCCATAGCCCACTTTGTTTTAGTGAAATTATAATCATAGTAAAGTTGAATCTGAGTTTTGGGATGTCATTTCCAATACTATGAACCTCTAGCCACCGTTAACATACTCTGAACAAAACTGAAATGGCTACATAACTCATGCCTTTAGTCTCTAACCCAGATGGAGACAAATTCCTATTTTCCTACTCCCACCATACAGAAAATTGGAATGGATCGGTTTCAGACGAGTGATTCTATCTTTCACAAGCATACCTGTTTTTCTAGATTAAAGAGATTGTTTGACTTCATTCTACAAAAGGTTTAGTTTTAGCTCAACTTAACTGAGGAAAGAAAGAGAAAAGATGAGTAAGACACTTCAGATTTTTCCCTAAGGAAATACACTACTACACCTTGTTTGGTACCTTTACAGGGTTGCACTGTGCAATAGGAAATCTATCTCTTGAGAGTTTAGCAGGAAAGTTATTTTTATACTCCATCCTTGCTGGCCAGAACAACAAGCTGGTTGCTGGCAGCCATGCCTTAGTCTTTTGCATGGTGGAACAAAGCATGAATCGACACTCAAGTACTTTGCCTGTCCATCCCTTGTGTGCACATGTGTATGATTTGGCTAACAGTGTAAAAATTACCCCAAAAGGAACATTGAATTGTAGTATCCTTTGGGCATTTACACTAAGCTTATGTATTGACACAAAGAAATGTGTTGATCTAAGGTTGTGGTCTAAATGTGATCTAAATATGATCCATGTATTTAAGAAGAGAGTCAGAAGTGTATCATCGTGTCACAAATTAATATAAAAACTAACTTCTGTAATCCTGAATTATGGGAACCTAGATTTAGACTCTGTGACAGCTTAATAGCAAGAAACCAATGAATAAGGAAGATTTTCAAAATAGTGGTCTTTATAATAATGGCCACCATCTTGTTCTTGGCTTATTTTCTTGAGATTGTTATAGTCAAAAGTGTCACTTGGCTTCACCTTGTGGCAAAGGGCCTTCTTCACTCATTCTCCTTGAAGCATAATTCAGAGAAGAGTGATAATCTATCTTTCTGGATAGTTATTATTATTATCCAACAATACAGAGCTCACAACCAAGATCTAGTAAATAGTAAAACCTCTTTTTTTTTTTTTGAGAAAGTGAGAGAGTGTGTGTTTGCAAGTGCACATGTGCACACGTGAGCAGCAGGAAAGGGGGGAGAGGGAGAGAATATTAAACAGGTTCCACGCCCAGTGCAGAGTCCAATGCAGGGCTGGATCTCATGACCCTGAGATTATAACATGAGCTGAAATCAAGAGTGGGAGGCTTAGCCATCTGAGCCACCCAGGTGCCCCAGTCACCTCTCTCTTAAGTGTTAAAAAGTGTTGGGGAATACATCCCCTTCAGGAGTAGTTGAATGATGATACATGATGATGAAACAACACAGTTCTAATTTTTTTTTTTTTGTAGGCATCAGAATCACTCTGAGAACTTCTAATAGATGCCTATGCCCCTTCCCTAAGAGATTCTGATATGTTGTGTTTGGGTGTGCGGCAGCTTGTGAATTATAAAGTTCTCTAGTTGATTCTGATACACATAAAAGTTGGAAAATCACTTGAATAAAATATAAATCAACATGCAAGAAACTGGTTGCCTATATTCTTATATTCTTGGCTGTTCCAGAAGTTAGAAAATTAAGACAAAGATTAATTTCAGACTTCTAATAATCATAACTTCTTCTGTAATTTAGATTCTTAGACTAGATGGGGCCCATGTATTACATTATATCTGCTGATCAGACCAAAAAATTCACTAGACTAAAAGTGTTCACTGAACTATATGGAGGCACATTCTATAGTTGGCTATATTTTAAGGATATAACCCATGGATAGAAAATCATAGGAAAAGAAATGCTATTTGGTCCAATCTTTTTAAATACCACTTAGAGGAAGAATCTCTAAGTATATAAGTTTGAACTATATTATGGACTTAGTTCTAGTCAGAAAAAGTTTTCCCCACTAGTTTGTTCTTTGTGTAGAAGAGAGTAAAAATGAGCATTGTTTTTGAGGGAAAAAAATTAGAAGCTATTATCTTACGAAGCAATTAACTGCAAAACAATATTTTTCAAAACTTGCAGTTTAAGGCTTTTTGAAATACATTAAAATTTTACAAATATTTTTTAAAACTATGCTACCTAAATTGTTGATGGCAAAACAAAAGCAATTTTGAACAAATACAATAATTTATAAAGTGAATTGAGTACATACTACTTTTCAGGAATTTGGAGGTGAATTTGGAAATTCTGGATGAAGTTTTTTGTGTTTTTTTTTTTGTTTCGTTTTTTGTTTTTTGGGGGTTTTTTGGTAAGTTTCCTATCTAAAAGAAGGTAAAAGTTATTTTTTCAGTCATGCACCTGAGAGGCATGCACTATTAGCAGAATATGACCTGGTACACAGAATGGGGTAATATTTTACTAACATAATAACAAGGGCTGCTTGTTTTCTCATAGGTATGTTTACAATAATGATGCCAAACTATGCTATTTAAAAAAATAAAAAATTTTGAACTGCTGTAAAGCAAGTGTGCAGCAGATGGCGACGTTACTTCTCTTACAGTTTTGCTTTGATATTTACTCTGTGCCATTCTTCCTCCTAGTGGAAGATATAGAAAGAAACGATGGTTCTGCTGAAAGGCCCTATTACATGAGTCAGTCTCTGCTGAAGATTCTGAACGAGCCAAGTATGCAAACTAAGAAGCATTAGAAGTGCAAACTGTGGTCATCCTGCAGCGGTGTTACCTAATCTTCATCTGCTGTGTCTACACAACACTAGTTTCATAAGTGCTTTGTGTTTGGAACACTGTATTCACCACCCTGTTGGCTTTTATTTGCATGTTTAATACCAAAGCTTATACTGTAATATGTGAAGCCATCAGAAGTTGCAAGGGAATTGTTAATAACATGGTACATTTTTATACTAAGATCTTTTGTTTTGTAATTCATTTTTAAATATAGTGGCTTGGATGTTTTGAAAACACTAGTGAATATGTTCATATTCTTTTAAATATTACATTGAAAAATGAAACGCTATTTAAATCGATAGCTCCTAATATATTTTTTAAATTACAACTAAAAGACTTCTGCAGGGAAAATTGGTCAACAAAGTGAAATAGAAAATTTTAAAGTTTTCCCTGCTCCTGTTTGACAGTAAATTGGTAAAAGGACTGCCTGCTCCAGATTTTGCTCTCTTTGAGTATAGAATGTTTCCTATTAAACAAATTGCCAATCATCCAGCCTTTACTACTTAGTCCTCTCTGACAAAGTGCCTTACTGGCTGTTTAATATTACCCAGATTTTGTGGGCAAATTTATAAACATTGTTTAAAAAAAAAAAAAAAACCTGCAATGTTTAGTGATTGAAACAAGTCTTCTTGAATTTGTTTTCCTCTTAGCTCACTGGTTGGAAACCACTTGTCATTTCAGTATGTTTGATATCCTCACTATATAGAGTAGTTTTGCAGCATAAACAATTTCCCTTGCGCCTAGTGGACATTCATGAATGTGTACTACACGCAAGAAAAAAAAAAGTGAAAGGATGCTTGTTTTTTTTGTTTGTTTGTTTGTTTTTTTACTAAAAGTGAGAAGTTTAAAAATCTAATCTTTTTTATGGTAGATCATTTCTCAGTGTTTTACAGAGTTTGGAAAGGAACACTTTGAGAAATTACAAAGGGAAATTTTACCCCTGGAAAGGGTGCTCACAGGTGTCATGTACTGAATCGCTGTTTTAAATGATTATTATCATTAAGAAGTGTTTTATGTGTGTTATTTCCTTTTTTAACTTTTGATATGAAATAATCAGTTTGTTTATAATAACTTTTATTGTGCTAATATAAACAGGAACATAATTTCTAATTCACTTTTAAGTAATTTTACTAGTATTACTAACTTTAAAGAAAATGAATTCAGTTTGTTACTCAGTGTTAAAGTATTCACCCCAATGGAATGTCAGTCAGATATGATAATTTGTGAAAGCTTTGAGAATCAACAGTAAGTTATCAGCTTATCTATGATCACATTTATTTAAATGTGACTTTAGATATTCTTTTATGCCAAAAACAAACTCACATGAGCACATGACAGTCTGAGCTCTATAATCAGTGTGCTTCTGCTGTGCAGAAATATTAGGAACATATTGTCTAAATATCTTTGATAACTAAAATGTTTAATATTTAATGAAATTTGTTGTTACTCATCATTTTAAATGTTTTTTTCTTCTAATAAAGATTTAGATAAAAAAAAAAACCTGTCTTTTTATTTCTTTAAGCTAGAAAAGGAGAAAAGCTTTAGTTTTTAAAACCTACCATAGGCTGACAGAATCTTCTATCAACTAAGGTTTAATATCTAGATTTATCTTTTAAAAAATTTCCATTTTTCTCTAGCTGTGCATTGTCAAATAACTGAAACTGATAATTTATATAAAGTGAATAAGTCAAAACTAAATGGATAAGAGATGGATTTTTAAAACCCAAACAGTGGCCTAAATTAGTTGGTCTTTGTTTTAATTTACCAAAGGTTTGCCCAGTCCCTCATTTGGTTTTACCAACATTGGAAGAAGCAAATCTCATCATTTTAAAGTCAGGGATGAATTTAGAGAACCTTTAAAAATGAACACTAACAATAGTTTTCTAAGAAAAGATTAAGTGTACCTATCACTGGCTTATCTTAAGCTAAAAGTTTTCCTACATCCAGCTCTTCCTTAACAAATGTGTAAGAACCTATTTTTAAATTGAATTATGTTAAGTCTACAAAATTTTTCTTTAAAATTTAATGGGTTTCTTTCAATGAAAACATAAAACAATATTCTTGCAGTTTTCAGTGTTCTTTTAAAATGTTCCAAATCTAATTAGATGCTAATACAATTAATGATTCTTATTTAAAATAAAAATATAGTTCGGCTTCCAGAAGAAATCTAAATTCTGCTTTAAATCTTACTAACTCCTACTTTTAGGTGACAAAGCACTAATCCTATTTCTAAAGTGTTTGAAATTGGACTATGATTAGATTTTTCTGTGTTGCCTACAAAGTTTAAAAAGTTTGTGAATCCATACACTAAAATTACACTATTAAAGGTTCTGCGGAATCACCAGGCATAATGCAGTTATTATTTAAACTAATACTGGAAAACGGGCTCTGTTTAACAATTCCGTATTTTTCTTTTACTGTATAGCTGAACACTCATTCCAATGTATGTTCTTTCAAAGTGGTGCCTCAGGAAATTGCTCTTAAACTCTAACCAGGCACAATAATTATCTCCAGTATTATCTGGTTCTGGACTGGGGAACATGCTTTATAAATCAGTCTTTGTTGGCATAAGGGGACAAAATTGAACTAAAATTATTGCAGACCATGGTATATGAAATGGTGTCTTGACATTTTTTCCAGTTTCTTGCAAATATTATCCTTAAATGTTTGTTTTTAAAATATAGCTATATGATTATAAGAATACAATTCAATAAATCACAGATGAAAAGAAATAGCTTGCCAATATAGCAGGAATAATTTACTTTTCCAAAGTAAATTTCCATATATCATGTTTTTTTCTACTAGAACTAACATGGATATTGAAGACTTCTCTCAGGACCTAAGTTACTTCTGGCCCTTAGTGAGTCTATCATCTCCCAGAAAACAAAGCTATCCCCCATTAAAACAAATGTGATTGATTCACTCATGAAAATTGAGTACCACATTATACAAGGCTTGGACATCAGGATAATGTCAAGGTCATGGACCCTCTTAAATTTATCAGGTCAAATTAACCAACTTCTCCACAACTTTCCAAGAATAAAAGGTAGCTAAAACAGCACAGAATCTGGCAATCTCTTCTCTAATGTTTTCTGTGCTGGGAAGACTGGGGGCTGTCATGTGACACATTTGAAAGCCATCAAATCAAGAGTCCAGGGAAGATGACAGAGTAGGAAGACCCTAAGCTCACCTGCTCCAAGGGATACAACCAGATAACACCTATTCAGTGTAACAACCCAGAAAAGAACCCAAAGACTGGCAGAACAGACTCTCCACAACTAAATGTAGAGAAGAGGCCACATCAAAGAGGGTAGGAAGGGTAGAGATGCAGTTGGGAGCTAAACAGACCCACAGGACTGTCTGTGGGAGGGAGGAATGCCCTGGTGTGGAGTGGGAGAGGAGCAGACCCTCACACCAGGCACACCATGCCGGGGGAACCTGCACAAGGAAGAGGAATCCCTGTAACATTTGGCTTTGAAAACCAGAGGGGCAGATTTTGTGAGTCTTACAGTCAGTGGAGCTTAAAACCTGGAACTTTAAAAATCAGCAGGCTGGCCTCTGGGAGAGTTAGGAGGGCAATAAGAACCTGAGTCCCTACCCTTAAAGAGACAACACAACAAATAGCCCCACAGAGACATACACAGATGCTGCAGTTTGAAAAATGTCTGGGCTATACAGGAGGGAGATTTGTTTACTAATCTCAGAGCATGTGCTGGAGGGGCAGGGATCTTTGAGAGATTTTGAGAACAAAATTGCTGGAGGGTGCCATTTCCCTTCCACGACTCCCAGTCTAGATACACAGACACCTGCAGGAATAAGCATAGTGTCCATACTCTCTACCTAGCTTACTAACAGGGTGCCCCACCACTGCACACTTCTGCGGATTCACCCCCTCCAACTCAGCAGGAGTTTTGCCTGGCAGCTGTAGGTCCCCTCTCATAGCAAACCTGTATACTTTGCTGGCACCATGCACCCTGCTCCCACACTCTCCTGTGGAGTCGCCCTCTCTAGCCCTGTACCAGGAGTTTCTAAAGCAGCTCCAGGTCCCCTCCCACAGCAGATCTGTGCAAACTTTGCTAACACTGTGCATTCTACCCCTGCATTCTCCTACAGACTTGCCCCCTCCGTTACATCCTTTGCTGAAGCCCATCTAAAACAGTGCGAAAGCCTGGCAGTGTGCAAGAACCCCAACAGGGGTCAGAAGCACTCCAAAGTGATTCCTGCCCCAGGGAGAGAGGAAGATAACCACCATTCCAACTGCAGCCCTAGCAAGGGGCTGGGGGCAGACTTCTGGTCTGACTGTGGCCCCCCCCTCCCCCCCACCAACAAAATCTTCTCAGAGGAAAACAAGGGAAAACACCCTGCAGTTTAGTGCTATGACATCTCTGGCAAATGACTAACTAGTCTGATGCAACTCAAGCCCAAGACAGCCCCAGACTGGCCCACTAATGACACAGGTCCCAAACCCTGCCCACAACAGGGAAAGGGAGCTATTGCAAATGACTGGACTAAAGATAAATGCAGCTCAGCCACAATAGCAGGATGCACACAACACAGGAGACACTTCTGAAGCACCAGGTTCTGGGAAATGGGTGACATTGCACTGCAGGCCACTACTTTCAAGAGCAGGAGACATAGCTGATTTTCCTAACACATGGAAACAGACACAGAGAGCTAAACAAAATGAGACAGACGAATATATCTCAAATACAAGAACAAGACAAAATCACAGCAAGAGACCTAAACAAGATGGAGATAAGTAATATGCCTGCTAGAGAATTTAAAGTAATGGTCATAAAGATACTTCCTGACTTAAGAGTGGAGGACCTCAGTGAGACCCTTAACAAAGAAAAAACATAAAAATTAATGAATCAGAGATGAAGACTCAATAACTAAAATTAACAATACAAAAAATGGAGTATGTAGCAAATAGAGGAAGTAGAATTGATCAGTGACCTAGAGGACTGAGTAATGGGAAGCAATCAAGCTGAAAAAGAGAGAAAAATTAATAATAATAAATAAAAATAGATTTAGGGACCTCAGTGACACTATCAAGCATAATAACATGCTCATTATACAAATCCCAGGAAGAGAAGAGAGAGAAAAGGGGCAGAAAATGTATTTCAAGATATAATAGCTGAAAAAATCCCCAATCTGGGGAAGGATACAGAAATCCAGATCCAAAAGGCACAGAGAGCACCCAACAAAATCAACCCAAAGAGGTCCACATATAGTAATTAAAATGGCAAAAAGTAGTGATAAAGAATTTTAAAAGCAGTAAGAGAAAACAGTTACATACATGGGAAACCTCATAAGGCAATCAGCTGATTTTTCAGCAGGAACTGCAGGCTGGAAGAGAGTGCCAGGATATACTCAAAGTGATGGAAGGGAAGAATCTGCAGCAAAGAATATGCTATGCAGCAAGGTTATCATTCAGAATAGAAGGAGAGATAAATAGTTTCCCAGACAAACATAATTAAAGGAATTCATGATCACTAAATGATCCCTACAAGAAATGTTAAAGGGACTTAGCAAGTGGAAAACAAAAGCCATAAGTAAGAGTAAGAAAAATATGAAGCACAAAAGCAAAAAAAAAAAAATTAAGTATCTCTGTAAAAATCAGTCAAGAGAAACACAAAAGGATATAAAATATGATACCAAATATCTGAAACATGGGGGGAGGAGAGTAAAGAATGAGTTCAAAATTAAATGACCATCAGCTTAATATAGATTGCTATATACAGAAAGTGTTATATGTAAATGAATGGTAACCACAAATCAAGAAATAGTAATAGATATGCAAAAAATAGAGTAAGGGATCCAAGTATTTTGCTAAAGAAAACCAACTAATCATGGGAGAAGACAGCAAGAGAAGAAAGGAACAGAGAGGAACTACCAAAACAGCCATAAAACAAATAACAAAAGGCAATAAATACACACATATCAATAATTACTTTGAATGTAAATGGACTAAATACTCCAATCAAAAGACATAGGGTGACAGAATGGATAAAAAAGCTGGATGCATCTATATGCTGCCTACAAGAGACTCGCTTCAGACCTAAAACACTTACAGATTGAAAGTGAAAGGATGGAGAAACATAAATCATGAAAATGTCAGTAAAGAGAAAGCTGGGTTACCAATACTTATATTGGACAAAATAGACTTTAGAAAAAAGATGGTAACAAGGAACAAAGAAGGACATTACATAATCATAAATGGTGCAATCCAACAAGAAGATATAACAATTGTAAATGTTTATGCACCCAACATGGGAGCACCCAAATACATAAAGCAGCTAATAACAAACATAAAGGAAATGATCAACAGTAATACAATAATAGTAGGGGACTTTAACACCCCACTTACATCAGTCCATAGATCATCCAAACAGAAAATCAGCAAGGAAACAGCAGTTTTGAGTGACACAATAGACCAGATGGATCTAACAGATATATT